TTCATCGAGATCTATTACAAGATACCTGTATAGGCATTTCTTAAATAATCATTATTTTGCTCTTCTCTTTATCTTTAAGAATATGAAAGAATCTTCTTTTTACTGAAGCATGTACAGGGAAGCTTACAAACCCGACTGATATTTTTACAAAATGTTATTAAAGAAGCTTCAAGGTAGGTAACTGAATGGTATTAATCTTATAAAACCACACCGTGTACTGCCATATACAACTGTTTGACAACCGTGCAGTTCTTTGAAGCTTGCCACACAATGCTTTGCGCTGCAAGTAAAACAATTCCTTAGGAAAAAAAAAAAAACCACACATTTCCTGATGTGTGGTGTTTTTGCCTTAGATTTTATGTTAAAAATGCTAGCAGCTGTAACTTCCAAATCACCATAAATGTAGATAGACAATAGTATAGAAAGAGAAGGTAACTTTGGAAAATCATTCACGTTCCAAAGTTCAAGTGTAAGCGTATTGCTCATTTGAAAATCTGGTTGAACTACATAATAGTGTGAATTAGGCTTTCAGAAACAGTTGAAATTCATAATGCATCAACTCAATCTTATCTTAGAAGTAGCTTTGAGATCCAGGTATGCTCCATAAAGATATGTCTCTGCTTTTCAGATTTATTTCCTTCAGAGATACTGTAGTCCTGTCTGAGGCTGTGGAAATAGGAGGTAGTTTGTCACTGGAGTAGAGAGACTTGCTGCAGGTTTAACACCATGTTGTTAATCCAGGTAGAAACTGTTCCTTACAGCATCCTCAGACTGAACATACTTGCCTAGCCTTCTACATGTTTACGAAGAGGAAAGAAATGAGAAACATGTAATTATGATTAGAACCAATAGTGTTTGGGTTGAAGTGAACTAACAATTCCAGCATCTTGCTTGAATTGTTATTTGTGTGTAAGTGTAACTTTGAGGTTTATTTCAGAAGCCTCGAGGAATGGTTGAGGTTTTTCTTCTCTAATCTGTTTTTTGTAGTAGTCAGCTTTTTTCCCTGGGGCGTTATTAAACTAACTTTATAATGAATTAAAAATCAGAAGTAGTTTTTGGATAAAACCATGCTCAGAGCTTACGGTACGCTGGACATTCATGCAAGTCCTCTAGCCTTCTGCTACCAGCACAGTGGGATCATGCTCTTCCTGTAGCAACAATTACTTTATCATGCTTTTGCTTGATCTGTCTTTGTTATATCACCCATCCACCGTTGTTCCATAGTCTGTAGGTTGTATATGCTTCTTCACTGTCTCAGCACACCAAAACAATACTGTTGCTCCTGGAGTCTGTGGCAGCCCTTAGTGGGATCGGAATATTTGTGTCTCTCAAATTAGGCTTTTTAGATCATCTGTAATTCTCATTTCTGTTGCACAGCCTCTCTATTGCAGTTTCTTTGAGTTGACTCCCTAAAAATTTTGGCAGCAATTGAGTGTTGCTGTTGGATGCATTGGAATTAAATCTTGTCTCTCACCATAGCCAACAGTTTTCTGTATCTACTGGTGGAAAAAGTTGGCAATTGTTTTGACTGTTGTTAAACTTCAGTTTCAGTTGGTTTGTGTGTAGGAACAGCTTAATGTCTCTCCTTCCTCTTCTCTCCTAGGTTAGATTTTTATACTGTGGTCATTTTATCCACCTGGATAACACTGCCTACAATCCCTGTGCAGTTCCCTGCTTCTTTCCTTATCCAGGCAAGCTATCACATTTAACCAAAGTTCCCTGCTCCCTGCAGGAAACATCTCCAGGCTCTCCAGAGTTGTCCAGATAGTCTTGTTTTGTTACCTGATAGCTGACCTTTGCAATGCCATGGACTGCAATTCAAATTTGGGATGCCTGCTCTCTTTGCCTGCTCCCAGGAGCTCTGAGTGAACAGTCTTAAGAAAGCTCTTGAGCATTTCAGCAACAAAGTGTTTTTAAAACCAGCCCCCATTCGGTTCTGGAAGGTTAATCCACTAGGAATTTGTGAGGGGACAAGATTTCTAAAACAATCCACAGTTTTTAGCTTTCTTTAGAAATCAACTGCCCCACAGTTGCTCTTCTGATAGCAGGGAAACTATCACTTTTGAGGGACAGAAATCAAGATGAGGTAGTAATGGATTTTTTTTTTTCTTCCAGCTGATCACGAAAATATTAAGGATGAGGAGATCACACCTCAATTTCAAATCCTTAACTATTTTCTATTCTGAGAGAGACTTTCCTAATGCTTAGTGATAAACATGTGGCTCGGCCTGGGTGGGTAGTATTAGTGCTCATAGAGAGTCCTGTGAGCCAAGGACATGGACGGGGAGGCCTGGCCAGGTTTAGAGGCTTTTGCCAGGGTTTAATAAGGACATAGGTCTGAACTCGGTGTGTACCTCAGCGGAGTACCGAGTTGAGAAGTGTATGACCGTCTCATTGCCGCTTATGTTTGCGTGTGCGTACGGCTGCTGAAGCATCGAGCAGAAGTGGCTTCCTGGATCCAGAAATGCTGCAAGGGGGAGGGCTAGCTGGAAGCAGTAAGGAGCTGTGCGCCAGGGCAGGGGTGTAAGCAAAGGCAAAAAAAAGGCCTGCTATTCAAATTTATGTAATCAGTAGGAAATAGAACTGCAGAGACTCCAGGTATAGATTATGTCTGTATTTTCTTTAATTTCTTTCTCAAACTTCAAATTTATATTTTCTTGTCAGGAAATCTGCTCTGCACTATGTAATGGCTATTCCTTCACCTGTACCAACTTCACAGCTTTTGTGAATGCACCATGAAGGCATGCAAATAATCCCTGAAAGGTGTTGGTAGTTTTAGGGTTATAGTTTTTTTGGCATGTATTTTATTTCTGTACTTCAGAACTTCACTTCTGGAAACAGAAAACACTTAACTCTCTTTTTTTCCTGGCTTTTTGAGGGCTGAGTGATGTTCAGCAACGCGCTAGACTAGGCTGTAGTAAGCATAGTTTGTATTCCCTCATTAAATGGAAAAGCAAGTGAGTAGCTTACCAGAACTTCAGGAGCCAGCATATATACATACGAACTATATATCACCTCATCGTGCACTGGACCTAAGGTGATAACTGAAGTTTCCAGGGTTCAGTAAAAGCTTTGTGAACGTTGTTTCATGTATTATTGTGTGCATCCACTATTATGTTTTCTTTTAAATACAGGTTTAAAAAACGAATGCTGATAGAACAGCTTGAGAGTTTTCTGGAAGAAATCCATCGCAGATCCAATCAGGTCAACCATATCAACAGCAGCTAAGAAACACGGCACACGAGAAAGCCACAGCAGGGCACTGCTGTCCTTACTTGCATTCATTTTTGACATGCACTCTTATCTCAAGTTCCTATACCTGAAAGAATGAGAAGCTGCTCTGTGAAATGATGAGAAAAGTATCCATCATGGGTTTTTTTTTTTTCTTCTGTTATTTTTTTAATGTGAAAAATATCACAAAAACATTTTTATTTAACTAAATGGAGAACTTCTTGCTTGTCATGGACTTAAGTGTCACTTTCCCTCAGGTTCTATTTTTCTTAATCCAACCTTCAAAACTATCACCTCTTAAGGTTGAACTTTGCCAAAAAGTTACTTTGTAATTTTCAAAAAAAAAAAAAAGCACATACATTAAACAAGGTAATGTTTTGTATATACAGTTATTTTGGATATATTATTGTAAGTTGTATAAATGTATTTTGAAAAATATTTAAGAAAAGCACTTTTGTTATTCCATCAATAAAAGCTCTATTTTAATCTTTGTGTAGGATTGAGTACATTTTTATTGGAATGGTTCATTTTGCCTTCTCTTTCCAGAGCTTCCATGTTCTAGTATCAGTGTTAAAGAATGAAGAACAGTCTCATGTCACTGGATATTCTGCTTTTACAGAACGAGTGGAAGGAAGCTAATGCAGAACCACAACCACAGTAGGATGATGCCCCGTGGCCTTGTGTACTTCGTGTTTCACTGGTTGGTGACTAGCATGACAAACTAATGTAGGCACAGCCCCAGCAGTGACAAAGCCCACAGTTTTATGACGATACAATGTAGTAAAGCCAGGGGTGAGTATCCTTTGAGGAATGCTGCACAGAGTTGTTTTCTGACAGAAGTTTTTACACGCTTACAGATGTGGGAACCCCCCAGAAGGTGCTACTTCTTGGACACAAAATATCACTGTATGCTGTATTGGCCATGTCTTTCATCTGTGCTAGATGCTCCTAACTTCTGGAAAGCTTTGTTTCAAAGCGGAGCTGCTCCCATTGATACTTTTCCTAGGAGTCAGTGGTTTACAATCTCCACCAAAAATCTTGATGGGCCTGGGTTTCTGATGAAGCCTGTGGCATCAGTTTCTGAATTGTGTTAAAACAGTCACTGTATCCCAGCATTTGTCAGGATGCTGAAAAATGCGTTATTCAGGAATGTCCATTTTATGCTGTGTTCCTTTTAAAAATGTATTGCCTTTTTTGGCAATAATACTTGTTTGGTCACTGACTGAGTGGGTATTTCTGCTTCCTACTTGTTCTGTCAGTTTTCAAACGGCCTCTCAGCTTGATTTCCTTCTCACAGCATTTTTACCATACTATCTCAGTGGGATTCTGTCTAAGTTTGGGACCAGGCTGAACTTAGATTTTTAAGTTTTTGACTTAAGGACAGGGAAATAAAGTTTTTCTCGTGGGATGCTTTCTTTCAGGTTACCTGTTACTCAGCAACAGTCAAGCTGACTTTAGCCATGATGATGAAGTTAAGCAGAAGCTGTTGTCTCACACCAAACATTTCGGTGGCAAGATCTGTTTGGTTTGTCCTCAAATGTGTATATGCTTAATATCTTTGCTGTAGTTGTGGTGCTAATGATTCCTAGACAGCTGTAAGTTTGCAATAGTGTGTATAAAGTAGTAAGGCAGTGGAGGACTTGCTTGCTCTTATTCTTGCAAAAGTAATACTGTTTAAATTGTTTTAATAAATACATAAAATGGAGTCTTTAATTTCATGGAAGGAAAGCTCGCCATAGGAGGAACAGATGACTGTGTTTGTCTAGTGTTTATAATGCAGGATTTGTAACTCTTCCTATAAAGAGTACCAAACCTGTAAATGAAAACAATATTAACATTATTTCAGTTTGGGCCCACGTTTTCCAAGTGTAGTACAGTTTACATAAATTAAGCATGGAATTAGCAGATTTGTGATCATTCATTGCTTGTATGGAAAAATCAACTGCAATTGCATGCTTGCCTTAGAATAATTTGAACGTTTCTGCATTAAAACCAAAATGGCCTTTCCAAATACTTGGGAACCCAAACCAGCAACTTGCCAAAACCTGAAACATACCCAAACCATTGGATAAAGAATCACTTTTGAACCAAGCAAAACAGAACCTAACTTCATTTGTGATGATATTGTAGTTACAGAAGAGATTTATAACCTCTTGAATGAAATCACTGCTACAGGTTCATGGAATTTGCAGTTCAGTTGTATGTATTGCTAATAGCTTGCCTGTCATTCAAAGGGGAGGTGTTCAAAACTGAATTTCTGATTAAAAAATCCCAAACTTTTTTCCATTATTTCAGGCAGGGTTATGCTGCTTTAAATCTTGGAAAATCTGTTTCTGCTATTACTAGAAGACTGATGCAGTGAAGACTTTTGGTCTATACAGAGATTCATTGTGAACTTTATGGGGATAGTAAGTTTTACATACATATAAGTTAATAAAAGTAGATCTTCTTTACCCTTTTCCCTTTTAATACTTGAAGAACTTCAGTGACTAAGTCTGAAGAAAGAAAATAAAACTGAAAATGTTCAGAATACACTTTCTGAATTAAAATCTTAGATTACAAAAAAGTACTTTGATTTTGAGTTGATTGGAAGGTATGTATTTTGTTATGCTTCATATAAAAATCCTATTTTATAATCTGATTTCCTTCCTGTTTATATACTTTTATCGCATACTGTAAGCTGAGCAATTTTATTCATGGAAATCACACTTTGTTCTTAATCCTGAAGGGTCTGTGGCTCAAGTTGCATAGATCAGATTTTAGTGCCTTTTTTAATTCTGCATTTGCTAAATAAAAATGTATTTATTCACAGAATGGTGATGGTTGCTAAAGCATATTTAAAACAAACCCCTCACCGAGATAGTGCTTTTCTTTTAAAAAGATGGGTTTGCATTTTGGTCAGAATCTAAGATACAGGTTTTTAAAGCAGAGTGTTACATACACAGGTATTCACTTAGAGAACAGAGTGTGTTGCTTGCGAGCAGATAAGGAAAATTATTCTCTTTGGACATCTGAAATTAGACATACAGTCTAACTGCTCTGCATTTTTGTTTGTTTTAGAATCATAGAATCATAGAATCACTGGGTTGGAAAAGACCTTAGAGATCATCCAGTCCAACCGTATCTGTCCGCCACTAAACCATATCTATCAGCACCTCAACTGATGGGGGATGGAGGAGTTGGTTTGCAAGAGAGTTATCAGTTGCAAAAGAAACATGAATTTTTTGGCGGTTCCTTGCGAAAGTGAAGATACAAGTTAGGCTTTTTGCAGAGCTAAGTTTCCTGATTACATACTTGAATATCCATAGCTTTTGATAACCTGAATGTCTCATGAGGATACAAAGTAGTGAAGAGTCCATAATTAGGGAAGAAATCTTTTTGCGCACATACTGCATATACATAGAAGATGTTTATCTGCCTTCCCTGACTTCTATGGCTATCATTCATCCTTTTTAAAGAAATTGAACTATATTCTTTATGCTTTAAAAACCCTAAACCCGCTGTTTCCATGGTGGTTGAAATTTCTTGGACTGAAGAATGGCAGGCTATTTACAAAAAAATTGTTCCTGATTTCAGTGCTACTTGTGAAGGATGCTGCTACTGAAACAGGGAGCACGCATACCTGTGTTAGTTTGTCTCAGGAAAAATGTGAAAGATCTGTCTGCTTTGAAAATAGGCGTTCGAGATCTTTTTAGTAATACCATCACTGTAATGCAACAGAGAAAACATTAGTAAAATGTGTCTGTTTCCATTCCATCTTCTGTACGGTACCCTCAAACTCTGATATTCAGTACCTTGAGTTTTGGGTTGCTCCTGCTCTTTAAAAACAAACCAACATTTTATCCAACAGTGAAATCAGCATGGTTGAATGAACAAGTCAAGTGTTGTCAGACTACGTGCAGATGATTTGCGTGTATTTCGTTGCTGAAGTGAGTCTGTCTGGCTTTGGATTTCAAAGGTAATATAATTTTTATTATTGTCATAGCTGTGACCCTGCTGAAGTCATACCATGCTATGACCTAACCCATTAGCCAATTCCTAGCCATGCTGTTTTGGTAAAAAAGAGAAGCAAGGCATAAATCCCTTTTCTAAATGGGAGACAAAGAGCAGAGAAATATCTACATCCTCCTGGGATTTCTCTATAGGAGCTCTCAATAAAACTTAAGTATCCTCAATCTCAATTTATGACTGTCCTTCTCCCCTGGTTGTGGGTTAATTATGAGATTAAATAAAGACTTCTTAAGAATTATAATTGCTCAGCTGTTCTTAAAATATATAATTTACATAAATTCTTCTTTGTACCTATATAGTACTAAGAATGCATTGACAAAAAATCCCAATACTAAAAAACCCAGATTTGGATTATTTTTCACTGAGCAGTTAAAACAATGAAATTGAATAGAAAAAAATCAAGTAAGACTCAGTAAAACTAGTTTGAGTGGCTCTGTTTCTAGTGCTTCTAGAAAAAGTGCCAACTTCAGCTTTCAGGCCACTGTGTGACTAGATCCAGAGCTCTTAAAGTAAACAAACCTAATTATACCTCTTTAAATCATCTTCTTAACTTGTTCTGACTGGTGTTAAGGGACGTTTTAGCATTGGTTTCAATGGGATAAAGGTCTGATGTCTGACTGCAATTACGCTTAGTCTTTGGTGTGTAACTGAAGCCACCCAAAATATTTTATTTTGTATGGGAGTTACCAGAAAAATTACTTAAAATAATCATTCCCAGTACGATGGAAGTTTTCATAAAATTTAAAACGGTACAGCTCTGCAGCAAGATTAACTTAGTTGTGGCAAATTTTCACTCTACGCCCACGCAGGCCCATCATGGGCCTTACTCAGAGGTGATGCCAGGGAAATGCTACGCCGAATTGGGTGTGTTGAGGTTCCTTTTGGCCTCGTGACCATGTGATGAAGGCAGGCAGACAGGAGGAGTGGAGGAGACCCAGGTAGTGCTGTGATCTACAGTCAAGGATCACGGGCATTTGCAGCGTGTGTGTGGAGCACAGCCCTGGGGAGCAGAAAGGTGAGGTGTGGTTCACGATCACCCTTCTGCTGTGCTGATGTTTGATGTGCTTGAGGACAGGTTCAGCTTTTGAAGAGAAGCGAGTGGCAGCAATGCCTGTGTAACCCATGCAGAGGGGTCTGCCTGCTGCGGTCTTTCACACAGGGTTGTGGCATCTCCGGAGCGTCTGAGGCTTCCAAAAGGGAAGGGTTTCTATTGAGATGGCATTCAGCTTATGAAGGTCACTTATTCACTCCTTAGCCCTCTGAACCTGCCCACTCAGCCAGCCCCAGTGCCTATTTGGAAGTGATCCGTTAGCAGAAACTACTGCACAGGAAGGTCACATCTAAATCTGTATAAGAAACAAGCCTGTCCTTGTCTTCATGAAGACAAAACTTCCCCCATCATCACCTTCAATGCTACCAGAGAGATCATCTTCAAAAAACAAACCCTGTAAAGGTTCAGGAGGTATGGACAAAATGTTAGTAACCCTCTTTCTTTCTTTGCTTTTACAATCTGAGCAAATGCATTTGACCAATGGAATAAGTGGTTTATTTTCTTAAAATGGACTTTTCCTGGGCCAGTAAAGCTGGTTTTCACTTGAGTCTTTATATGTTAGTCTAAGATCAAACATGGAAAGGGAAGAGTTTCATGAGTTCTTATGAACAATTACAAAGGTAAAATGGAAGTGTGTTAAAACACAAAAGTTTAAATTTTGGCTAGACGTACATTTAAATGCTACCATGTTTGTCATTGTTTATTTCTTTTGATTTTTGTTTTAAGTAGCTTTTTCTGTGGTGATAATCCTCAGAAGTGAAAAGTAAAGTTTGTATATTTGTTTTACCTGTAGCTCCTGATGCTTTCGTACCATCTTCTGTTACTTCAATCTCTGCTTTGTGAATAGCTTCTGAAATATAAAGACTAATTTGCTCTGGGGGAAAAAAAAAAAACAAACCCGGAAATAAATATTAATAGTTATTTTCTGAATTCTATTGCAAACACTACTCTTTTTCTTCAATTCAGAATGCTTTTACTTCCCCCCCTCCCCGGGAATCTGACATAACCGTTAGGTATTTCACTGGGGTAAGTAATTCAGTGACAGCATACAGATTTATAATATATATCATGTTATTAGCTTTTCTGTTGCAATTCCTTCCACATTTGGAAAGACAGCGCTGTATAAACCTGCTTTTCCATTGCTTTTGCTCTATCTGGTTTCCATGTTAGAAGATCTTCAGTTCTAATTTTGTCTCAGCACCTGTTTTTTTCATACATGTGCCTAACATGGATGAGCGTAGGCAGTCTGAATCTCTAAGCTGGCTTGGTATTTTGACTGTGTCAGTATAAACCTGGAAGAGCTGTGAGGTGTCATCACATTTCTGCTGATGGAGGCAGCTGCAAGTTGGCCCCTTCCTACCGACGGTGCGAGTTGGGTTCATGCTACAGAAAAGCATCTCTGACACAATATATGAACATCTTTAAAGTGAGATAACACCCAGGGAAGGTAACATTAGGTTACTTTAGGGAAGACTGCATGTCTCGGGTCTCTCTTGCTGACAGAGGGAGGCAGGTCCCTTGCCATTGTGAGCAGAAAAAAACTATAGAGTGACTTTTCAGGGAGCCTTAAGTCACCATTGTGAATAAACTCTTCTCCCTCATTTCTACCCATGTTTACCTGTCCTTTCATCTTTGTGACTGGTTTCCCACTGTGGACTGAATGCTGAATGGGAATTTCTAGTTTGAGAAGTCTCCCAGGTTGTGTTGGACAGCTAGGTTACATGGTGAGAGTAGAAACTAATTAACACAGTGAGGATGGTGAATGAATGCTGAATGAAGAACCACTGGAAGAGAAACTGCAGGAAAAAACGCTCTTCAGGATGAAGTGATGGCACTGTCACATAAAATGGAGCTTGGGAAAACATTAATTTCCGAAGGATGCCAAGGAGAGTGTTACAAGTCTGCTTCTCCCCACCTGCCTGTGCAGGGCAGAAAGGGGAGAAGGTTGTGAGGTTTCTTTTTTCTTGCCTGAATATGAGGATAAAGTCTGACATATATGTGAAAACAGGGAGATACTAACGGAGTGTTTCATCTGTTTCTATCTCATTTTTTGTCCAGTCAAAAACCTGGGATGGAAACAAGCAAGACAGATCTGGAGAGAGGCAGAATTTTTAAAAATTTATATAAATTTAACATATTTTGGAATAAAAAAGAAAGTTAAGTTTTCAGGTATGAAGAAGCTATTCTAGGTCTGAAAAGAAGTAACACATTTCTTTGCTAAATGTGATCTGAGAGTAAATATTCTGAAGAGTATGGGTTATGGTTCACGTGGAAGAGGAATTGAACACTTACCTATTGCTTTTCCAACTGTACTCATTGGTTAAATGAAAGATAAGCCTTCCTTATAAACTCTGCCCTATGGAGCTCTTAGACCATCATGGCTATAACCCTACTGTTACGATACATAACTGAGTAGTGTAAGAGTAGAACTGAGAAGGGCCTCAACACATCCTTTAATCTCTATAACCCCACCACAGGCAGGATCAAACACTTCTACGAGCCTTACCCTGTATGATGTGAAGCAGAAAGCCACCAAGTTGCATAGGAAAGAAGCTGCTAAATGAGATTGTCTGTGATGGAGTTAATTTCCTCAAAGTATTTATCTTATTTAAATAGATGTTAACTTTATAAAACACATCCTTATGCACTTTGTCACTATATTAACATTGGTTTGTAATAAACAAAGCAGCAGGCTTTAACAAATACGTGGGAAGTACAAAGTATTTTTAATGTGCACCTCTGCAGTCTATGTACTGCAATAAAAATAAATGCTACTTTTAGTTTTAAAAGGGTTATAAACCCCCCATAAGTAATGCACCTTCTGAGTTTCATCCCAGAATAGCAACTTTTCTGTAAAATCAGGTTTGTCTAAATTGGAAGAATTTTTTGTTGCTATACCTCCATTTATTTACTCACACGCACAAGAATCGCACAAACTCTGCATCTCTAGAAGCAGCTACCATTCTAAGTCTTTGCTATAAGGAAAAATTACTAAGTTGAATAGATTTGTGTTGCTGAGTGGAGTAAAAACCTAAAACCATTATGTGGATTAAATTAGTACTCAAAGATGATAATTTTCCAAGGAGCAGGTAATTTCAGACTTCCAAGATCAAAAGAGTTTACAGTTATAACACTAGTATTTTAGCAGATAGAAAATATTAGTCGCTGGATTAGTAAAACAACATAGCACGGGCACATGCCAATATTGGTTGCACTGTCAGGAGTTGCAATACCAGCGTGTTGGACTAGCATCCCTAAATGTTAAATGACTATTGAAAACTACAAATAGGGATCCACGTTTTACTAAAGTGTACTAAATTTCTGAATAAATAACCATCTCCCAGGCCTATGCTGCCTTCACAGTGTTAATCTTAAAGAAAGAGGATAGGAGAAAAAAAAAAAAAAAGGGTAAGACTAAAATTAACCCTGTCCCATTCAGATTCCTCTTTCCTACAAAACCGCAGCTCAAAATACAATTGCTAATAATAAAGTAGAACAGTTGTGTGTGAATTGTAGTTTAGAGTTTCACAGAGGAAGAAGTACAATCAGTTCACAAGGCCCAGGTCTACTGCATCATTCAAATATGAGTCTACAACTACTGGGTCAGTGATAATTTTTTATTCAGTCAAGTCTCTTACCTGAAATACCTTTAAAATTAGCAGTGATGGGATCAAATGCGTCTCTAATTCCCAAGGCAGAAAAAACTGTCTTTAGGTCAAAAAGGCTTTGAATACTGAACCTGAAATTAATATGATAGATTTTATTTAAATGAGGGATTCATAGTTTCATGGTCCTAAAAGGTGGAACAGATGTCATTTATTTCAAGTCTTTGCATTTCATCCATCTATTTCTGTATGGGCCCTTCCTTTTGATTAAGTATACTTTGCAGAAAAATGATTCATCTTAGTAACATAGAATCGGAATGGTTTGGGTTGGAAGGGATCTTTAAAGGCCATCTAGTCCAACCCCCAGTAATAAGAAGGGACATCTTCAACTAGACCAGGTTGCTCAGAGCCCTGTTCAACCTGACCTTGAATGTTTCCAGGGATGGGGCTTCTACCACCTCTGGGTGACCTGTGCCAGTGTTTCATTGCCCTCTTTGTAAAAAACATCTTCTTTTATCTAGCCTAAATCTACTCTGTTTTAGCTTATAAACTGCTACTGCTTGTCGTGTTGCAACAGGCCCTGCTAAAAAGTTTGTCTCTATGTTTCTTATAAGCCTCCTTCAGGTACTGGAAGGCTATAAGGTATAACTATAAGGTTTCCCTGGAGCCTTTTCCAGGCTGAACAAGCCCTCTGATCATTGTGGCCCTCCTCTGGACTTGCTCCAACATGTCTTTCCTGTGATGAGGGCCCCAGAGCTGGATGCAGTATTGCAGGTGGGGTCCCATGAGAGTGAAGTAAAGGGGCAGAATCACCTCCCTCGACCTGCTGGCTGTGCTTCTCTGGATACAGCCCATGATACGGGTGGCTTTCATAGAATCATAGAATGAATCATGGAATGGTTTGGGTTGGAAGGAACCTCAAAGATCATCTAGTTCCAACCCCCCTGCCATGGGCAGGGACACCTTCCACTAGACCAGGTTGCTCAAAGCCTCATCCAGCCTGGCCACTTCTGGGCTTCCAGCACACGCCGCCAGCTCACATTCAGCTTTTCATCCGCCAGCACCCCCAGTCCTTCTTGGCAGAGCTGTTCTCAATCCCTTCATCTCGCAGCCTGCATTGATAACAGGGATTGCCCCAACCCAGGTGCAGGACTGTGCACTTGGCCTTGTTGAACCTCATGAAGTTCACATGGGCCCACTTCTTGAGCTTATCCAGATCCCTCTGGAGTGGTGTGTCAACTGCAGCACTCAGCTGGGTGTCATCTGCAGGTTTGCTGAGGTTGCATTCAATCCTGCTGTCATTGATGGTGATATTGGATGTTCCTGGTAGCAATACGGACCCCTGAGGGACACCACTTGTCATCGATTTCTGTCTGGACAGTGAGCTGTTGACCACTACTCTCTGGATGTGACTATCCAGCCAATTCCTTATTCACTGAATAGTCTTCCCATCAATTCCATACCTCTCCAATTTAGAGAGAAGGTTATTGTGGGCGACTGTGTCAAAAGCCTTAACAGAATTCCAGACGGGCATCTCTACCTGAAAATGTTAAGGAATTAAGAAGGAATCCCTCGCCTCCATCTACTGCAGTCAGACTGCCTCTCAGTCGTCTTGACACCTGAACTCTCCATTTTCCCAATTGTCCTTTTTTTAACAGTCTTTTCGGCTGTAGCAAAGGGCCCTTTGAAACATTTGCAAAAGATTAGCTTGGAGAAAAAGAATATTAATGTACAAATCGTTTTCCAGTGCTTCGTTAAGGTGGGGAGTGTATTGCAAGTGATACCTGATGAAACTCATGCTGATCCATACAATAGGTACAGCCACAAAAGGCCCTCCTGCACCTGATTCCTCCTGCCATGCAATTTCATTTGACTAGATGATAGAAAATGCCTCCAGAACATGTGCCTTTGCTGGGAATGGTGAATGACTGATGTGGAAAACAGCTGAAACCTTCTTTGTGCACAGAAAGATGGGTATGACTGGTGGGGGGCCTCAAGTTCTTTGTAGAATACTTTTGTAGTATACCAGCAAGTTGTAAAAATAAGCTGTTGTATTTTTTTTAAAGGGTATACATTTTGTTTTCCTTAAGGAAAGAGAAAAATGGAGTGTGGGAAAGGGCCAAGAACATTTATCCCTTTTTAGATCTTTAAAGGACTGTTATGCCCCAAACAAAGCTTTAAGTAAAAGCTGTAAGATCAACTGAAATACTTGGTTATTAAAACGGTACAGAACATACCAGAAAGTTTTGCCACTCCCAGGTCAGTTCTTCATGGCTTAAGAAAGGGTTCGAGCTTTTCTAATCATGTGACAAATAACAAAACTCTACATATCTCATCTGATTTTGTCTGACACATTTCTTGTGTCAGCCCTACAACACAATTCCTACAACTGAAGTAGTGGAGCCATCTTGCAGTACTAATAGTGCTTACCTAGGTAGAAAAATGTCCATCTTCGTTCTCTTCAAGGTGTTGGACCAGAGCGTTATGGTTTTGGCAGAGAGATGGGACTCAATGTGGGACAAAGGTGTTCTTTTGTGGCTGGGAAGCACTAGGAACATGCTGAGTTTCTCCCCCAGGTAGGGTAACTCGACCACGCTGAAAGCCTCCAGAGTTGCAGTCTGGAATTGGCCTGTAGATGGGCAAATAGAGATCTGATTTCATCATTCAAGTGGGGAAAAACTCCCCAAAACTCACAGCCCAGGCCTGGGTCAGCAGATGGTTCAGAACGGCGGTGATGGGATATAAGAGGTTGTCTCTAGCACACGGGCTCTTGCAGCCAGCTCAGGTTGGTCTTATGACAGTGGCTCATATGAACAGAGCTGATTGTGAGATATATATATATATATGCACACACATATAGATCTAGATCTTGGCAGAAAAATGCCAATGGCAGTAATGGTACCTGAAGCACTGTCTCAACAGAGCATGGGTATTTTATTACTTTCTCACATAGCAGCTGTCCTCCTTTCTCAAAGTTTAAAATACATTACTGAGGCAATGACAGTAACTTCATGGTGACTGTTCCTGCAGTGTTTGTTTTTTGGATAAACTTACAGTTTTCTAAAGTCTTTCATGAAAAATTCACTACTGATAGAAATTACAAAAAAAACCCAAAAACCCACAAAATTAAGTGTCCTATTTAATTAACTGAAACCCACCTTGCCTCACATTTCCATTTCTATTACCTTTAAAAATCAGTTTTAACCTTATTTCAAGAAACGAATAGTTACAATAAACAATAGTTAGGCTTATTTAAGCACCAAAATTCTTACTTTTTTTTTCTTTTTTAAATCTAGGCTTAAAATAAAATCAGATGGTCATAAAAACTAGTCACAAAAGCAAAAGCTGGTGGGCTTCTGAACTTGTAATCAGTTATGCAGCAGTTTGTAACAGCCATTTAAAAGTACCATTTTAATTCCATATGTCAGTGAACAATTATTCCAGGTGTTTCTAATGGACTTGGTAATACAGTAGAACAGGTTCAATATTACTTTCTTATTTTTTCATCTGTTAATCCAATAAACAGCATTTCAGAAACACTCAGCAATAGTCACCAGGCCAGGAGTTAAATACAAGTTGTAAGCAAATGACTTATCATTGCCTTTGATGCAGGCCACCCAAAATATTCCCTATTTGCCCAGCTGCAGTAGACACTCATTGAGTTGGGGGTTGTAAATAATGGAATATACGTAGCTCGTGTTCATATTACCTAAATATTAGCCACAAGATGTCTCAAATATTTAGTGTACAACATTTGCTAGTTTTGCAGATCTGGGTTAGATAGGACTCATTAAGTGCTGATTATTCTGCTACATTAAATTTTAGGCTCTTGGATTAACTCTCCTGCCATGCAACATGGAGAGGGAATTGTGCTGTTCAAACCACTTCCCAGCACATGGATCACTTGGCTGAGAAAAGACCTTCTGGTTTGCAAGCAGGGAAGGTCTGCATTTGTGGTGCACTGATCAGGAATGGTTTAGTTTGTGGGCATGCTGATATTTTGAAGTCAGCACGTTGTGCACAAAGGTTATACAGTCCTTATTCGTTAATTAGAAATAAAATCGAAGACTTGAGTTTATTGACTCAGAACATTTAGCGTTCCTAACTTGAACTGAGAATCCCATAAAGATCATATATATGCTAAATCATTATTCAAATATAGTTAACAAATTGCTTGGAAGAAATGAATATTTGTAAAATTGCTGTGGTGCTCAAAAGGCGTGTGTAAACAGTAACGTTGACATTTTCTTAGAGCAGTGTTAATTCTCCTCAGGTTAATTTGTTCTGCATGGCCACAGTAAAAAGATAAACAATGTTGTAAATGCTGAGATCGATAACAGGCCACAGCTAATCTTACCCTGTGTTTTGGATCCTGAAGGTAGACTGCTGCTATCATTTAATAATGAAGGAAAGTTATCTCTTACCTCTGTTTTTCTGTAGTACATCCATCTTTTGTATTAATGTCAAACTGATTTATTAGAAATGTTTCTATCTAGTGACAAAGACTGAATTGGCCCTATCAAATCTGACAATCAGCAAATTTTAAATGTTTCCTCTCTTGTTGACTTTCCTCAAAAATTGCAGAGAGCTCACACATTTCAGACTGGATGAAAAGGTAATCCCAGTATTTTGGTTAACTTTCCTTTTCTGGGTGAATATTTGATGCTCCAGCTACCTACTTAAGGACGATTGATGGTGTTCTTGGGCTTAGGCAAATAGCCAAGCAAGCACAAGTAACAACTTCACATCAAGTTTGCAAGGGCTCAGAAGCAAATACGTGGTCAGTCAATGCAGCTCAGCTGCTGGATTTCTGGTCACTGGCCTTTACCCGAGATCTCACTTGTATAAGCACAGACGTTTATACAGAGCCCCTGCAGTGAGTCAGTGATACAAGCTCAGCCAGGGCTGGAAGATCACGAGTTCATGTGGTAGTTTATGTTGCTCAGCAATGAGGATGATAAGGTGTAGGTTTTGGAAAGGGAAACTCTGCACTCCTCAGTAAAGTCAATTAACTTGTAAAAGATTTAAATGTAAAGAGGATGGGAGTGCTCCAAGTCACAGGTGTGAATGCGCTCAGGAGCTGGTGCTCCCAGCAGGAGGAAGAAGCGTGGTGGACCCACCGTGGATGTCCTAGAAGAAGAAACGCCACAAGGAAAGACGTAACAGTAAGGACAAACTTGCAAAGAGTGGAAGAAGTGATTCCTTAGCCAGCTGAGTTATGGTTCAGAGATAAGAAGGCATAGAAATAATGAGCTGCCAACTGCCCACTTGATGTGACTGCTTCACAGAAAAGGAGAATGTTTTAGCCATATAAACAAGAGAAAAAGGAAGAAAAAATGATGCTGCTGAACACTGTGAATTATTTTTTTTTTTTTTTAGATTCATCCCAATTATTTGCTGGAACTGATGGAAAAGAAATAATCTGATGATATAGCAAAGGATAGTGGTGAGGTTCATAATGGAAATGAGGAAAGCGCAGGATGTATTATAACACTAGAGACAGAAACAGTTTAAAATACTTGAGAGACAATAATCTGGATGATCACCACCCCAAAATATGAAAAGAACTTGGATGTGGAATTGTAAATGGGTCAGCAAAGACTTTTAGTAGACTGTAAATTCAGTTGTTTCCCATGATTGGAAAACAGGACTACATCTGTAAAGAAAAAATAAAGTAATCTGGGAAATTTTTGGTCAAGTTTTCAAACATACTCTGGAGAAAAGAATAATCAAGCCATAGAGGGAAATAGAAAGTGAGATAAATTGCAATATCAGGTAGACCCTAGCAAACAAATCTATAAGTTTCTTTTGACTTGATAACTAATTTGATAAAAAAGGCATGCATCCAGCCATCTAGTTCTAAGTAAAATGTCAACATAGTTTCACTGTGGCACTATTTGCAGGTGGAAGTGATGGCAATTGGAGCAAGAAATGAAAGGCAGCAAACAGCCACTTGGAAGGGAAACTACAATGTTCTGAGTTAAAAGAGGAGCTCCCAGGTGCAAAAGAGGTTACTAGTGTCTTTCCAAAGTATTGCCAACACTCAAGATTTTCATCAAAGATGGTGAGGTTACCATCATGAATAGAGTGGTAGAAATCAAATGATGGTTGAAAAACACAAAAAAAAAGGTATGTACCTGTGGAGATTTCCCTCCCCTTGATTTGCCTAGGACCCATCAGCTGGAAGAAAATAGAGTAAACCTTGAGTAACCACCCTGAGCTAATTCTGGAGTGCACTGTGCAAGGTATTTTTAGCATGTCCTAGAAATACCATGAGCATTTTATCCAGCATGTATATGGCTTCATTATAAGTACTAGGTACATTCCTGGTCATTTATTTCCAAGAAAGATTAATTTAAACTGGAAAAGTGCAGAAAAGGACTAGTAGGGAATTGGAGTGTCTGCTTTTTGAATAGTTTAGAAGAGCTTGGTATTTTCAGCTTAGCTCACAGGAATTTGAGAGGCAGCTTGGTGACTCGCAAATACTTTTGGGCGTAAATATCAAAGCTGAGTAAAACTGTTTAACTTAAATGCTAAAGCTGGCACGATGATAAGAGATATAAATTGGTCTTGAAAAAATTTAGACTTGAAATTAGGAAGGTTTTTACCCAAGGGCAGTTCTGAAATTTCGGGTAGAAGGGAAAGGAGATTTTTGTATTTTGAAAGAGGTTGTAGAGCTAAATGGCAGAATTCCGAGTGGTAGAAAATGAAGCCCAGCACAGTCCTTCTGTCAACAACCCACATACTACAAGCCTTTGAAGGGAGCGTCCACTGTATTTATATATTACACCAATAAAAGTTTGACTCATATTTATACTGTTTTAAGCCCATGCTGAGGGCTTAATCCACCTATTGGGTATAAGTGCCATAAAAATTTCTCTTCCCTTTATTGCAGAATTTGGCCCTGAAGATTTGTAGTTTTACCCTAGAGCCTTGGAGACAGGCCATGACCAGAGACAGGAGGGATGGGTTTGCAGTGCAGGTCTTCCCAGTGGTACTGTCCTCTCTCTGGTGCTCTCACACTCAAGGGACAAACAGCGATTAGGCTGAGGGGCCAGGAAATTTACCCACCCCACAAACCAAATTGCTAGGGGCTTGATAAAGTTTTAGTCTTAACTGCCCATCTGTCAGAGGGTCAGATATGCTTCCTACGGTTCTCCCTTCCTAGGCAACTGTATTTAACAAACCCCATGCTGTTGCACAGGCCTGTGTATACTGTGGTACCCTCAGTCTTTCCTGTTCCCTTCTCCTGACACTTTATCTTGGTGACATTCGACTGTTTGCTACAGCTGACGAGTTTGTAATGGTGTGCTGGGAAGTGTTGAGGGATGGGGCATGGACAGTAGATATTTTAGGAACCACTTTAAACCCAGGATCTGTTTTGTCATTGCCTGGGATTATAAGGAGTCAAACCGGTCACCCTAGTGGTCTCTTCATTTGATGTGATTTTTTCTGAGACTTCTCCAAGCTGGGAAAATAACACATTTTAGTGCGGTAGCTGTGGAATTTAAATAAATAAAATTGTTCCATGTTGTACAATAAATATCTGGATCGAGGACAGTTACCGTAGTTGACTTCGACTGTGTGATGCATTGTGGGCACTTTCAGGGTTGACCCCTCTGCTGTGGTAAAAGGCAACATCTGGGTATCCATAAAGGAAAACTTCTTTTGCCATGTGCTTTTGAAGTGCATGGTGCTCACCAGGGCAACCTGGCTGAGTGGTGACCCAGCGCTCTCCAACGGCATGCCAGGAACATCCCCATCTGCGTGAAAAAGAGGCAGAGAGGGTGAAACATGCCATCATACTCACCCAGGCCTAAAAAGCCAGGTTTGTGTGAGTAAATAAAACAAGTTGGGACCACTCTCTATCCCTAAAGGGCAAGAGGCACAGCTCATGAGACAATTTTTAACTCTCTACCTTCCCCTCCCCACCCCCACATGGACCTCACTGGGGTTGCCTGTTGGTCCATGCTCTCCCCAGAACCGAGATTTGGTCAATGTTGAGGGCCAAAATTGTGCCAGGACTATGCCACTCACTGAATGCCATGGATGACAGCAGCCTTGTGCTCAGGACCATGCCCTGACCCTAACTGGTTTTCTAGCTTCAGTGTGGCCACACATATCTTGGGAGTGGTTCATCACTAGCACCAGAAACCCCACATGAAATGGATTCATGAGTACAAACTGTTTTATGAAGTAGCCAAGCCAACTGAAGCTCATATCCTAATTCTTCCCCCCCTCCTATTTACTTGGCAGTTCAACTGATCCTGCTTTAGGCATCGCAAAGATTTTTGAAAGTGCGATCCACTTTTAATTCATTGATACCCATGTGAGCACCATAATATGAACTCCCATTTTAGTACCTGCTTCTAGAGCAATGCTTTTCTGTCATGAAACGGAATCATTCATTACAGCTCATTTGAGGAGGATAAGAATTCTTTTTTTCAATAGTATCTTCAATATGTGTGTTTAACATCACATGTTGATGGCCCAATTAACAGTTGTAACTTAAGTTGATGGGGCAAATCAGGGACTGATTTACTCTGCTGCTTCTGAGGACTTGCCTTTTCAAGGTTTTTTTTTTCATTAACACAGAATTTAATTTCATTATTTTCTTGCTTGTGTAGCAAGTACATTCTTTTTATTTCCCATTTTGACTTTTTTAAACTCAGAGGCTGACTGCTGAGTTTATGGTCCTGCATGTTCCACACAGCAACCTGAAGGCATCAACTCAGCAAACTCCGTCCCATGGGAATTTGGCTGCTCCTCATTAAAACTGAAAACACTGCAAAGGATTGCCATTTTGAAAATTAGAGGAACAAGGCCAAGCAATTACCAGCTTGATACTGCAAACCTAGACTTAGAGATTCAGACCTACTCTGGCTCTTTCCTCACATTAAGTTTCAACATCAGCACAAGAATTAGATTTCCTGTCTCTCAGCCTTGGTTTAGACAACATTGACTATGACAAAAAAACTTTATACGTGGTTAAATACAGGTTCTCTCGTTACTCTCATTTTACATTTAATTTACGTGCAATCTCCTGGGCTATTATTCTGATGGGCTATTTCATTACCTCCAAGGTTACTGGTGATCCATTCCTGGATTTGGGCTGCGGTTCTGTTGGGGTCAGTGAAGTTGGTTTGCTGCAGGCTGCTGTTTGCCCAGCGCACAGCATGTGCAGCGAAACGGGGCGAGACCTGCACGCCGGTGTCCACAAAGAAGGAACATGCCAGGTGAACCACTGTGCTTTGGCTGGAGTCGGTCGCTCCTTCGTACGCCACGTGCAAGAAATCCTGCACGTTTTGATCTGCCAGGCAAGAGAGGGGGAGAAATTGCAATTGTCCTGTTGAGGCTAAGGACAGCAGAGACTGCACCCGGGCTCAGCAGCTGTCAGTTCCAGTGCTGACATGTCCTCTGCAAGGTAAAGCACTATAACAGCTGAAGCACCCTTGACTTTACGCGGTGTAACTGTCAAGCACTACTGTCGAGGACAGGGAAGCACTGGGCACAGGAGAGGACTCTTCATATTGCTGTAGAAATCACTCTAGTGCAGATATGCCAAGTGACTGATTTCATATCAGGCTCACATCTCTGTGCAAACACAGCTCTTGCAATACGTAAGGAACATTATCTTCTTTCAGGAACTCTCTGGGTTCCCATTAGTGACACCTAGCACCTCTTGCCATGACTGACTGAGCTGCCAATGCCACAGTACCACCATCTCCTTTTCCTGCCATTGTCGATGCCGCCCACCCCAGGAAAGGCATCTCCCTGACTGTCCCAGGTCTGTTTCTGCTACACTTGGCCCTCATGTGTCATTTTGTTTCTTGAAGGATGGTGTCCCAAATGGGCTCGGAATTGCCGGTGAGCCCTGGCAATGCTAAGTAGAGCTGCTAGGTTGCTTCATGTGTGCTAAAAGTGACTCTTCTCTTTGTACACTCCATAACAGTGCCTGCTTTCTCTGAAGTCCAAGTGTTTCCCATTCAGTATTCTTTTTTTTTTTTTAATTCTTAAGAGCCCTCATCCTTTCCTAAAAAACTGTTCTTTGGCTCATTGTTCCCTGACTTAAATGACTGATTATTCCTCCTAAATGTAGAATTTTGCACTTGTTCTTATTGAATTGTGTCCTACTCACTTCACACATTTCTCTGATTTGCCAGGATTTCTTTTGAATTCTATTCTGATCTTCCAAAATGATTGTAGCAACTATGATCTCAGTGTCATTCAAAAATTCAGTAGTGTATTCTTTACTTCACTGGAAATAGTTGAATAGTGCCCCAGTCTCCTGTTCCTGGGGATCTTATGGTAGATCATAGAGTCATAGAATGGTTTGGGTTGGAAGGGACCTTTAAAGGCCAACTAGTCCACCCCCCCCTGCATTAAGCAGGGACGTCTTCAAATAGATCAGGATAGTGGTGGCTTCTTTGATGGAGAGAGGGCCCAACAGGAACATGAGACCTGCAAGCTTAGAGGATCTTGTGTTGTAAAAATCACAGTTTCTAGCAGGCTCCCCTGAAGGGTGATTTAGCAGCCATTTATGGCTGTCATTATTTTGCTCACTGTAATGATTTGTGATGGTATGGTTCATGCCGAGGTGACCTCCTGAGGCCTGGGACTTGAACCCAGTCTGAACAACATTGATAGGCTCTGTGTTAAATCTCCTCAAACTTCTCATGTTTGTGGTTCAACCCCTTTCTCATCTCCCTTGTTGTGCTTTGGAGGAGACTTGTCTACTTCCAGCTGATAAAAGGCCTGTTGAGATTGTTACTTGCCTTCAAGACATTTCCAACAAGTTCCTCCTCCCATAAATAACCTTCTCCTGAGGCCTGGGAAATATCTGGACCTTGCTCTTCCTCAGTAAGACATCAGTGCCTCTTGGCTCTGCAGGACCCCTCTGCTTTCCCTGGGGAAAGAGGCACCAGCTGTCCCAATTTCTGTGTGAAACCTAAGCAACAAATTGCTGTCCAGTGACTCCAAGAGGAGTCTGTATTGTACACCTTGCTTCTCCAGGGTACTGTCCTCTGCTCAAGTGTTCCTCTGCCCTCGCCTGAAACCCAGGTGTGCCCTGGGCAGCCCTAAGGTTTCGAGCTCCCCATGGGCATGGCTGGGCTTACTGTTATGGCCCTGGCTTGAAATCTTGGTTTTTTCTCCAGGGAGAACATAGGCAAAAGGAGGCATCACCCAGTTTTTCCAGTTGCCTGTGGGTGTAGGCAGTGATGGAGGGAAGTCAGGCTGGGACATGGGGAGTTTGGGGTGGCTAACCATGGAAGGATCCATCCTGCTTGGACCAACCCATCCCAGGCTGAGCATCAGGTCAAGGGCAGGATTGCCGTGAGCCTCCATCTGCCAGCCAGGTCTCTGATCTCATCAGGAGACATTTATTTTGTTGGTTCCAATTCTTGGTGGGGTAAAAGGGGAGTTTCATGTCTACTGATCTCTACCACCCGAGAATCCGGTGCGTGTTTTCTGACCTAACTGTGCTCCTTTAATAACCTGCAGGAAGACCTATGGGAAGTTTGGTATTAACATTTAGATCTATTACTCTGTAACGGATAAAATATTGAACTCCTTGAGCAGAACTCACGGGGTCTGAGGTGTAAAGTGCTTTTCTCGTGTGTTTTGCATTAGTGTGGGAGCATTTGGCAAGCTCTCTGGAGGATGTGAGAAATCAAAAATGGTCAATTGGAAGCAGATGTTCACGTGAGGTGTGGTATTCTGAGCTTGTAGCTTCAGTTATATCAAAGTGCTTAGCTAACCAAAGTCTTGAATTCTTACTTGGAAAAGAGTTCAAAATTGCTTTAAAATACTCCACCATGGATAAAATAAAGCAGCAAGGAGAAAGCATTTTAAAGCATGTCATTTTATCGTGTCTAGAAAGACATCCCTTTATACGTTGTTTTTCTTAGTACTAAAATGAAGGTGAACAAATTTTCCAGACATTAAAAGAAGGTTACAAGTGCATGTAAGAGCGTATTCTTCGTGAATAGTGAATGAACCATCAATGTTTTCATTGTTTTCAGCCTGCTAAGATTTTAAACACATCCTTCATTAATATTTAACACAAACCAACAGAAACATTAATACAAACATCTAATGGAAGAAATGAATATTATCAGATATGCATAAATATGTTATTTGGGTTTACTCATCTGATAGGAAAAGTGACCTAAATATTTATTTGATTTAAACCATGTGAGGAAGTGGTTTCCTTCTCCATCACTGGAAAAGTGCTGTTGTAACCCATAGCAATAGATCCCATCCTACTTTATTTTCACATTCATGCATTAATATTACCGCAAGCCAAAGCTCATGTGGCTTGCGCCACAGACAACTGAAATGGAGATAAAATGTCTGCTTGCTATGATGTGCCCCATGAGAAGTAAGGCAGCACAAAAGAGCTGGCAGGTCATTAACAGCTTCTGTGCTTCTCTTCGTTACATTTTGTGTGGAGATCTGTGCCTGAATGTCACTGTGCAATATTATTCTTAAGGTTCTTTCTTAATAACTGAGCCCCTAATGACCAGAAGCGTCAAGCAAGGTATAATCCTTGTATGAATTTATGTTGTTTAAAATTACCCTACTGAATTTAGAGAAACAGGAGTCTCATAGGCAAGACTTCATTATATTATCTGCTCATCATATAGATGCACTGTCCTTGTGTCGGTACATGCAGCCGTATCTATATGTACAGCCAGAGTTAGCTCTTACTGCTGTGTCAGGTTTGAATATCAATGCTGTAAGGAATGGTAATGGGGACTAAGGCAGGTTACAGCCCAGGACAGTGAAATTGCTGTAGGTTTTATCTTCAGTCTTCATCTGCTGAAAGTAAATTTTATGCTGAGAAATAGCAGTGTCATCTCTATACATGTCTTGTATGTAAGCTGCAAATTTTGTAGATGCGGCAGTCATCTGCTTTTCATAAACATTGTGCCCATAATGTAAAATAGTTTTTGATGTGTGATGTGAGATGGTAGGATAATCCAGAGCTAAAATGAAAACAGCATCCTTAAATTCAGTTGACTTAATACTGGATTTTTAAGACATCTGCCTATTCCATATCCCTTCCAGATTCCCAGTGAGTTTTATTTTAGCCTGTTCTCAGGGAAAGATGCAATTGCACCATCCATCTGCCAATGTGTATCTCTCTGTGCCAATTTCCTTCTAATAACTTTTCATCTTTTTGGCCAGTTGTAATAACATTAGAAAAGTTGCAAAGTCTTAAAGATAATTCCATTTCTATAGGTTTCATAACATTTGTTAATGGATAGGAGAGAAAACATAAGTGCGATAGGAAAGAAAATGACTGTCCTCTGCCTGGTACCTCCTCACAGAGGACACGGGAGGCCAGGACACAACAGACACTATGAACCCCTGAGAAACCAGAAGCAATTCCGCTGCTCGTGGAAGTAGCTTTTCTAAATGTCGTTGTATTTCAATGCAGCAAGAGTAAGCACTGATCAAGAAAAAAAAAAGAATAATAATGTATGTATCAAAAGAGGAATAATAATCTATGTATCAACTATCCCTTTGACTTTCCTTTGTCCAGCTGATACCTGGCTATCAAATATGGAGAAAACACTCCTAAACTACATCTTGCAGTGAGACAGAAGACAGAAGTTTAGTATGATGTGTGCAATTGCTGTCTTCTTAGTAAAGCTGTGAATTTATTGCAAAATGTAAGGCACAAAATATTTTTTTAAGCAGTACATTACCATGAATATTGTATCCTAGGGTATCCTGCAGCTCCATAAAGGTATTTCCTTGAGCTCCAAACTGCAGCAGCTCCAAAGAAATAGCTACGCTTGCTGGGGAGATTACCAGGTTGGTTCTGTTCTCTGCTTCGGATACATGCCTGTAGAGATTGATGGCAAATTCAGTCTTCAGCTCTTTCAGCTCATCATAAGAGATGCAGTTTCCTTTGGTTAAGCAGCAAGCACACAGGATAAATGCAGAGAAGAAAACAGGCAACATGAAGACAAGCTGGGAGGGCTCTCCACCAGATAATCATACCTGCAATAAGTAGTACAGATATTTAGAAAAGCAATACGCTGAGCTCACAGAGGAACTTTCCATCAGTGTTAAGATATCACTTGCAATAGTAATGATCACTGGTAAAATATGTGTCCAGACTGACCCCATACTTGTTGTCATAAAAAATAAGGTGTAGGGACATGCTGATGACTCAGTTGGCTAACAAGAGCCAAGTTTTTCTGAATGCTGTACTCATATAGGATGTTTGCCTGTTACAGTACATGGAGACACAGAGCCCCTCGGTTAAAAGTTAGTTACCTGCACACACGATGGGAGACCTTCGTGAAAGCTGTGCAGTCTCCATGCTCCTGAGCACCCACAGCTTCTTTCTGTCCCCAGTAGAAAAGGGGGTCCAGCACTCTCAGAAGGAAGGCCACCCCTCGTGAGGTGCAGGTATTTCACTGGGGGCTCCAGGCTGGGGTTTAGATCCAAGTTTGCAAAAGGATGGCTTCAAATTCCTCCCCCCAGATATTCTATGAAATATAGCTTCTATGAAATATATCCCAGTGAAAAAAGGTTGTATTTGCAAAAGGCTCCAGTGCTTGCAGCACAAAATCACTGCATCAGAATCTTATGGGAAATCAAGAATTGGTCAATGTTATATTAAGAGACACTTAGATTTGTATTTAAAGGCAAAGTCCTAAAATGACAGAATAGCTTTCTTTACAAAATTTTGCCTTTTGAATGTCGTATGCAAATTTATCTTTAAAAATACTGCACCTTCTTTCCTTCAGGCTTTCCTACAAATCTTTCTCCATGCCCTTTGCTCTAGAGAGCACCTCTAATGCCTTGTATTTACTCACAGTTAGCTCTGTTAAATTGTCTTGCCTTTCTGTGTCCTTCTGGGTGTCTGAATGCAAGCTGTCTATGTACGTCTTGTCTCCTTCTTTAATAGGTAGTGGAGTAAAGACTAAGTCATGAGACTGCGTTTAAAGGGATAGTCAGTGATCAGAGTCTCTGTCGGCGATGTCTGTACCACTCTGTCCAAATTCCTGTAGGCTTCAAGCTCTATGGAGAGCCAGGCAAAGCGGCATGCCACTGACCAGCAAATCCAAGGCAAGGAACAAAAAGGTACACATGGAGATACAGTCAGCAACTTCCTTGCAAGCCCTGCTCGAGCCTCATGAGACTTGTGACCTGCTGGTACCGAGCAAGGCATCTCCTATCTCTCTTCCCACCCCCCTCCTTCTTTTATATGAATTCCATTGATTCCTCTGCCACAAAGGGGAAGAGAAAGGGCTCTCTGTGTACCAGGCACACAGCTATTTTTTTTCCCCCACTTTGAAACCTTATTCAGAAATCCCATGCAATAAAAATGTCTTTATTTGCCATTATTTTTTTGTGTTAATGCCATCCCATATAGCAAGATTTTCATTCACTCTTTAGTTTCCAGAAGGAAAGAAACAACAAAGCGGTGTGCTTTAAGGAGATTGAATGAGGAAGGGGTCGGTTTGAATGAACCAGAAGCAGAAGAGCTGTAGCCATGACCAGTTTACAAGCAATTTTAGCTGTTCATGGCTTTCTTCATGTGACAGGATCAAATCCTGCCCACCATATTCACAGGTTCAGCCTCACAACTTCAGAATGGCACCTAAGGCAAGCGATGTTTTGGCTTAAAAATATGTGTAAAAAGTCAGCTTACCGATCTTCATGGAGTTTGACATTATATATACACTTAGCTATTTCATATTGTATGTTCCTGTTACAACTGGGAGAGAAAACACGGGGAAAAAGGTTGTTAAAATCAAATAATTGTGTTTATGTGACACTGTTTCATCCTTAGCGTGGAAGGAGCAGTCATGCAGTTGAATTAGGGCCCAAATGAGCACGAAGCAATGGGCCTCCTTTCGTCTGCACCCTCGTTGTTTTTCTCTTTTTGCTCTTTTGGGTAGATGACAGAATCGACACTGGTACTGGGGTCAGTCTCAGGATCCTGGGGTTTAGGCCACATCCCTGCTAGGGCGGATGAAGGCCAAGTCCCAGTCTAGTAGAACAGGCAGGGAAGTAGCTTTTGCCATGGATTTCAATGGCAGTATCCTCATGCTGAAAGTTACATTTGGGTTTAAGGGTTTTGCTGAATGAGGAGATCTCTGCTGAGGTTATCACTAATAGTGTCCACTGGACTGGAGATGTATTGAGAGAAAGGGAGGCCTCCAAGTGATTTCTCAAAGGGCTCAGAGCTGTTGATAGATAAATCAATGCTGGTCACCGCTGAGGACTGTACAGCTGTATTTGATGTGATGTTCCCACAGGCTCCAGACCTGATGAGACATTTCCTCTGTGCCCTGCCTGATACTTTCCTGTGGATTTATTAAGCTTTAGAATAAAGATAGGGATCCCCTGAAGGTTTTAGGCATTACTGTCAAAAATTGCCATTCAATTCCCACCTGCACAAAATGAACCCAATGTTGCTGTTCACATTTAAGGTGGAAGATGTAATTGAAAATTGGACCCGATACAAATGTGATGTAGGACAGCACAGTTTCTGTGGGA